GAAATAGAGGAATAAACACTAGAAAAAAAACCCCACAGTGCTTAAATAGGTCAAGAAAGTCAGCAGCAATATGGCTAATAACAACAACTGGAATGGAGCATGACATACAGGTGGAAGAGAGCAAAAAAAGAGATGTAAAGAATTCGAATGCAGACCGTTTTGGCACTGCCATGCAGTGTAACTATGTTCTTGCTGCACTGACATTTGGAAGCATGTTGCAGAGGGATAAAACAGTCTGCTGTGGGATGGAATGCTCTCTGCTCTATTCCCACTTGTCACCTGCAAACACAGATACCGTGAGGAGAGTCTTGTGTTGTGGGTACTTTAATTATTGTATGTTAAAATGAAAATTAATAATATTTCTTTGCTTGTTTTCTTTTTTCCTTGAAGGGAATAGCAGTTCATCCAATGTCACGGTTATATCGTCCCCACAATCTACAACATCTGCAATAGGTATGTATCTGTTCATCTGTCCATTACTATGAACCTAGAAGCCAGCTCCAAACCTATCCCAGATCATACCAAAATCTAAAGAAATATCTATCAAAACTGGGTATGAAAGAGAGGTGTTATCATTTTAGGGCTGGGTGGCAACATGTGAAAGAACTCTGAAATAAAGCTATACTGTTTTTCAAGTTTAGGTAGTGTGCTTCATCAGTAGAAGCAATGACATTTGCAGTGCCATTGAAAAACAGGAATCAAAATAAAACTTCCAGGAAGAACTGTGCAAACAGTGCACATCTGTTTAATGTTATTTCACAGTAAATAGATACAGGGTATAATGAAGTCCTGGGACCTTGAGTTTCACGAGTAAGACTCAATTTCCTTTTAGGTAATAACCATGGCACCATATACCATAGAGAATAGTCCTTATAGAGCCCATAGCACAAAACAGAGGAGTTAAGCAAGACATGAGGAGCAGATCTAGGGCAATCTGTCACGAGTACTTTTGTGGTGTTCTGGCACTACCGTCTTTCCTTCACAACTTGGCAAAAGAACTGTAGGTAAGAATGGTTTCCTAAGGCAGCAGTGTCGCAGTCATGATGCTTCAACATGAGTAATGTGTTTACAAAACACATCTTTGTAGAAAGAAGAAATAGCTGTATTAGATCAACTAGTAGAGTTTGAAAGCAGATACTCAAACCGGGACACAAACAGTTCATCCACTTACGTTGCAACTATTGGCTACAGGAAAAGGAAAAGGAAATTAAAAAAATGATCTTCTGTAAGAACGTGCACAGGCATATTTCACCACATCACGAAAGACTGGATAAGAACTAATGTCATGCAGTTGTTCAGTCTGTATGCACAGATAAAAAGCGGTATCTGAGAGAAGAGGTCCATGCATGAACTGAGTCCCTTTGTGGTGAGAGCCATGTGAAAGCCGGGCAGAAATATTGTGCCTACCCTAAGATACTTTCCGTATTTGTGGAGTTTTGTGCTGATCATAAGGTCCCAGCTATGTTGTTCCATTTCCAGTGCAGCTCTCACTTTGTGTCTCTCTAGTCTCCAGATAACCTCTGAGCTACCACTCTCAGAAGTTGCTTGTTAGTCATTTAAGAATAAAATACTCACTGGGGAAAAAAAAAAAAACACCCACCTCTTTTCAAAGACCTTCCTTTTGATAGCGAGGAAGGGGTGCAGTGCCTCATTCCATTGCCTGCAGTGTACCAGTTTCAGCATGTCTGACTTGGGCAGTGATTTGTGTAATCCGCTTGTTGCCATAGGGCCTTCGGCGTGTGTAAAGCCATTGTTAACCACAGGTGTTTCACCCGCCCTTCCGCTCCAACCCTGACTCTGGGTTTCTTGCAGAGGTCTGAGCGTTACTCTGTCTGGATAATAATAGTGAAAAGAGGCCTGAGCCCTTTACTGTTAGGCATAGTACAAATCTAACAGACAGCTATGCCTTGAGTCATTTTTTTTTTTTTTTTTTTTTTTAAAAACTGCATAGATTTACAGACACTGTTCATCCATTTTGATTATCTGTCTCGACCTCTTCAGAATAAAGTTTACTGGATATACATCTGGATATACATAATTTTGTTTAAAGTCTCTGCCTTTTTTTTTAGGGAAGCTTTTCATGGCAGAAGCAAAAGCCCGTTTCATTCAAACATTTTCCATGCAAAGCAGCATTTTAGGAAGAGCATTCAGTAATAATTCACAGAATCATAGAATGCTTTGGGTTGGAAGGGACCTTTAGAGGTCATCTAGTCTAATGCCCCTGCAGTGAGCAGGGACATCTTCAACTAGACCAGGCTGCTCAGAGCCCCGTCCAACCTGGCCTGGAATGTTTCCAGACATGGGGCCTCCACTACTTCTCTGGGCAATCTGTGCCAGTGTTTCACCACCCTTATTGTAAAAAATGTCTTCCTTAGATCTAGTCTAAATCTACCCTCCCTTAGTTTAGAGCCATTACTTATGTAGTGTAATTATTTTGTATGTTAGCACGGTGCTTATGCAGTTGGAGTTGTTGGGCTCCTTGTTGAGTTAGAACACTGAGTAGTGCATGCTGCTAAGAATTCTTGTCTTTATGCTATATATGTAGTTTGATTGATGGATATAGCATAGCTATTTAATCTTTAAATACAGGTAGCTTACAAAGTAAAATACTTGTCTTTTAAAAATAAAGCAGCATAAACCTGAACTATATTACTGGCATGGTTCGTTTTTAAATAATAAAAATTAACTTAAGCATTCTGGGTTTGTTTAGAATGATGTTTGATGAAGCCCAGCTGGTCTTTTCGGGGAAAAGTAATTAGGGAAATAAAAGATAAAAGGACAGATGTTGCTAGCTAATGTTCTTTCATCTTAACTCTGTTGGTAAAATAGTATGGGTAAGATTTTTCAAAGACACAGAACTGATTGATGTCAGCTTCCCAAATTCTCCAGCTGACTCAGCCTCCCACTGATGTTTTGAAATGGCTGATGCTAAATACATCATGAAAGATAAATCTTTAGGAGATTAACTAGATTTTACTCTTAATGTTATGTCACAAGTGCTGTCATGTTGATAAGAAAAAAGGATCACTAGTAGGAAAGGGGGGGGAGGAGGAAGTAATGTGCCATTTTGCTGAATTTCCTCATGATAACTACTTGGATATTTTTTGTGCTGACTCAGGTTTTCTGCAGGGTGATTTAATGCCCATGGAATAAGTACCATCTTTGTGTAACATTGTTTAATAATGTTATGCATGGAACAATTAGCTATTATATTGCTCAGAAGCACAAGCCAGTTTGACACTCAGAAATCATGGCTCAAAAGAGAAAAAAAATAAACAGAAGACTGATTGATTGACACTTGCATTCAGATTTGTCTTTTGGTGTCATTTGTATTAGGAATGCAGTTACCAAGTGTGGTTTCGTGTCGTATAGCTGTAGGTGGTTTCCATATAGGTCATTTCCATTTCCTTGCTATTTGCTACAATGAGGAACTATTTGATATTTATAGATCATTGTGCCTTTGGGGAATTTACCTGTCAGTATTAAAATGTGCCCTGAATTTTATCTAATGTATTTTACACATGCTTCATAGAGGAACTGAATTTCCTAATTGTAACAAGGTAAGCACATGAGTATAGTACTCCAACTGTTCCATCTCAATGAATGCTCATTTCAAAGTGTTGCCTAGGCTTACAGCACAACACAATTATAACATCAAAGAGCAGGAAAATAAATTAACATTTACTGTGGGGACTGTATTGGGCTGTTTCAGTAGTTTTAATGTTAAATGTCTCAGAAACATGTTATGTAGGCCAGTTCCTTTCTGAATGCTATTGTTGTGGGTTTTTTAAGTTTTTGATATTCACATCTGTAATGGAAGCAGTGATACTTAAGTCTTAGCAAAGACACCATTCTTTGTGTAGCTACACACATTTTAAACCACACTTACGGGAAGGTTATTATATAGAAGCATTTTAGATGCTGTACTAAAAGAAGCAGAAATTGAATATCAAGTTTGCTGTGGAATTGAGATTATACTAGCTATTCTGAAGTTGTTCTAGTTTTAGACAGTTTAAAGAAAATGTGGGTATAATTAGACATTTGAATGTCCATAGTAAAAATATTTTGTGGTGTTTAAAATGAACCCAGCTTGTGTGAGGTTATAGTAATAATACAGAAGTAGACCGCTGCAAGGGGAACTTTTTCTTCCTAGAATTCCTTCATACATAAAAGCTGTTTGCCTCATATCGTCTGCTCAGAGAAATGTTAGTTGCATAACAGGCTCAGGTTTCTTGGTAGTTCCTTCTTAGAAAAATAAGTAATTATTCTTAAGGTCATTCCAGCTGGCTGCTGTCTACTACGGTTCTAAGGATTTTGCTGTAAATATCAATCTCTATTATTCTTGAATTTTGTTTCATGGTATTTTTATTCTGAACAGTTCATTACTGCTTTGTGAGGAGGGAAGGGAAAGTGCTTAGGTAAAAGCAGAGTAAAAGTTAAAGATGTTAGGTGTCAAATAAACTTGTGAAACAGCATTCCAGTCTTTGTTTTAACCTTGGCAAGACAGCTCGCTACTAAATAAATGATACAAGCCAGCAGATTTACTTTAGTTGAACTTTTATTACGTGTAGAAAACCTTTTGAACCTTAAGTTTAACATACATACAGAATTTTCTTTGCTAAGTTTAGTATATGTGCAGCCTTAGTAAAGCCAGTGTTTAATTCAAATCAGAAAAGCTTAGTTATCTGAAAAGTTGGGCCCTTCAATTGGAAAGTTACTCTTGATCCAGAATTTTGTCACAGTTTAAAGTACTGTAAGTTAGGCGTGATTCTATGGAATTGGATAGTGTTATAAAAAAAAAATGACCCTTCTAAAAGTTAGTGGGTATTATCCAGGTTTTCTTTACAGGCTTTCCTTTAAGCCATTGCTGACCTTGAGCCCCGGAAATCAGAAGTTGGGCCTTTCCAAAGGAAATGCTTAGGGGAAGAGTCTGTATGCAAGCCTATATATCCACACAGTGGCATTTTTATTGTTACTCACATTCTATTTGGGCATGATAGATGCTATCTTATTCAGTGAGTATGCAGTTTATTATTTTTATGTATTTTTCTGTGTGATACCACAAATAAAAATTTCCTAGGTATGTCCACCAGTACTACTCGCCTGACCAGTACCAGTCAGCCCACCAACACCACTGCGTCTGTCACCTTGACGACTCAGCCCACCACCACCAGCCAGACAACAAGATCCACCACAGCTTCATCAGTCACATCGTCACCACTCAATATTACAGTGGTGACCACATCCAAGATTCCTTTCACTTCTGTAACAGGTGAGTTCACATTGCAAGAAGCTCATAAATGCATATGTACGTGTGTGGTACAATAGTAGAATTGTTAGTTTTACAGTACTGTAACAAAGAAAGAAGGTATTTGCATGCTGAAAAATGAGAGTAAGGTTGGATTTTATTATCAAGTTGGCTACAATAATGTTGCTCTGACCACTCAACTTAAATAAGGCTTCGCTTAACCTGAGAGCCCTGACGTATTTAGGAAAAAAAAAAAAATACACGAGTGGTCTGAACCAGCAGCCACCAGCAAGGAGATTAGCAATGTTAGGAGAAAGCCTGGCTTTTGAATCCAACTTCTGTATTTGTTCAGCTCTCCCTTCTGCAGCTTACTTGAACTCTTCTCTAATACTTCCTTTTTCACAGCTGACCTGTGGCTCAAAGTATATCTGCTGGCTTGGTAGAAAGGCTGAATTCCGTTAGCTACATTTGTAGCAATGTAACCAATTTTATCCCTAACGGAAGATAGAGTATGACTATGAATGAGTCACACTTATATAAAAGTTGTCAAATACAATTTGACAGTACCCTTTAATATAAGTAAGTGTAGAACTCAGTATTTCCTTGCAGTTACAGGCTTGTTTGCACCACTTCGTGCTTAGACTTCTAAACAGATCAGGGTTGCTCACATGTCAGTGAAGTATTATTGGGTAGGTGAAGCTGTCGTCAGCAGAACTTTTAGTTGGCCACGTAATGCTCCCTGTGGCAAGCACAAATAGAGATGGGCACAGAACAGGTCTTTTGGTGCGAGTTCGTAGCAGATAAAACCAGTTTTCACACAGAAACTGCTATGGCTTATCTGAGGCCCTGTTATCTGTGTCAATATTTGCCTTGGGCTGCAGAGCTGATCGCACTTGGAGAGTGAGGGTACAATTCCATGAGACAAGGTGAAGCAATCCAACAGCTCATCGCCACCAGAAGTATTTTACTCCCACCACGTAACTATACTGACCGACTTGGTGGTTGTTGGACCCCTCTACAGGCTGACTCACTATGCTCATCGGACTAAAAGCAACTTCCTTGTCTGCTTGGGCTGATTTCAGGCCATCTTAGTGAGTTAAATTGGCTCATGAAGGGTATGAAAAACACGAACTGGCCTAAGAAGGGCAGGAGCTGCCTGTGTGGAAGCAGGGGAGAGCAGGGGGAAAAAAGGCAGGGGAAAGAGGGAGGTGGAGAGGAGAAGGGGCAATCAGTCTTTCAGAGACAGCAAGCAGTTGGATCAGCTGTTCTTGGCGTCGCCAGAATCTGGCACTTAAAAACAGAGCTATAGGTATGTTATGACATGGGGAGGGCAGGATATAGAGGAGTCCCTCAAAACACAATTTTGCAAGCTCTGTAAAAAGTGCCTTTCTTTTTTCTTTTTTTTTTTCTTTTCAGCCACATCAAAATCTGAGGCTGTTGTAGCCAAAACCTCCAGATTTGATGCAGGCAGTTTTGTAGGTGGCATTGTGCTGACACTTGGAGTCCTAGTTATCCTCTACATCGGATGCAAAACCTATCACTCTAGAAGAGGCATTCAGTACAGAACCATGTAAGTTCTCAAGGGATTGTCCCTTGTCAATTTATTACTCGAGGGGAACAAGGACAAACAAATCAAGGAGAATGAACTGTGATACATATGTTTAATGTACCTTGTATTAATATCACTAAGAGATTTAACTGTGATATTTTGTTTTTCACCACTTCAGCTATTCCTCATTATTATGCCTCTCTTCTGTGTGGGTTTTTTCTCTGATCTACTGCATAAAATCATTGTATTTTTTAAAGGATCCTTGTCCTTTAGCTATTCTATGGATAGCTAATGTTTGCTTGAAAACTTTTCCTTGATAAGTTTGCTGCGATTTGCAAGACTTCCGGTTCTTCCTGACATTTTCTCTTAGACTCTATTTGTCTGTTCACTCTTTGGCATTTTCCTTCTCCTTGCCATTAATTTTTTTGTAGTAGCTCTATTTTCTATTACCTGTATGTTGTCATGTTGGAACTCTGTTACCACCTCTCTTTTGCATCACCTCTTATGTGCCTTTAAGTCTAGTTTGAGCAGCCAGTTTTAGAACCAGACATCTAATATTCCACATTCTTAAGCCACCATTGTTGAATTGATTCATTTGTTTATTGTCACAGAAAACATTGAAAGGCAACATGGCCATTATTCACATTTTTAAAAGCACAGAATTTGGTGGTTGTCAATATATGAACTGAAACTTCTGTCCCACCTTGCAATCTGGCAGGCCGACTGATTGATTTCTAATATTTAGTTTTCTGTGTTATCTTGTTCTCGGCTGCAGAAACCTGTCCATAAAATTATATCCATCGAACCTGCTTTACACACTTTTTGCAAGTCTGTGAAATGAGAAGTAGAATTCATTTAACCAAATACAGGCATCTGCATCTACACTAGTCATTTCATATCATTCATATTACCTGAAAGTAGGGTAAAACTGTCAGATGAATCAGCCTATCCATGCATTTTTGTATTCACTTACGGTGAGGGCAGCTAAGAGTCTTAGACAAGTCTGTGCTGTGGATATTGAAAGGTACACACTGGATCCCACCTGAACTCACTGGTTTACTCTGTGTATGCCTGTGACTTTCAGCATTCTTTGAGCTGCAGGCTGCTGATACTTTCCCTGTAGAGTGTAGGTGCTGTACAGCAAATACAATCCTATTGAGAGCGAGCTTGTTTGTCTTAGTTGTCTTTTCAAGACCCTTTATAAGTTGTCTGTGGGCTTCAGACAGTCTGTGAACTGCAAGTTGAAAAACACCAATTTAAACAGAATCTCTGCCACCAGTTTCTTCCAGGCAACCGGTCTCTGTCCTTTATGATAGCGGACTGGGGGACAGGAGGCCAGTCTTGTCTTGGGTATGGTTCTTCTTTGTGGAGCTACTATTTTCCTCTGCTTTGCAGTGTTCACTTCTGCGGACACAGAACCAGTCAGACGTCTATGACTTTAACTTCATCTTGTCTCACCCCTTTTGTAGTGAATGGTACAACTTTGATTGAACAATATCATTTACCATTTACACTCAGCTCTACTCGCTTTGCTTCCAAGGCTTCCCTCCTTGTCCCACATTTAGTTTAAGAACTGGGAATTCTTAACACTAGACTGCTTTTCTTTTTCCTATTCAGTATCATTCATCTCAGCTGAGAAGCTTGTTTTAAGTGAGGTGATGTCTTTAGAGTTGTTGGGATGTTAGTGTTTAGGCCTTGTGTTTTCTCTCCATCTTGCCTCCTGCTTCCTGGCCATGGAATTCAAACAGTTGCTGCCACACAGATGGCCTCTGTTCACAAAATAACCCTCTTAGCAGCAGCGGGGGGGCTGTTTCTTGTACTGTTGTTGTACAACTGTACACTTGTTGGCTGTTGCTTGTACTGCAGAACATTAATTACTGTGTTTCTGTTACAGTGATGAACATGATGCCATCATTTAAAGAGCCTTCAGGGAAGACAGTGTTGGGAACCCATCCTATCACAGCTCTTGTAACTTCTGAAAGAGTTCCTTTGGTAAAGATGGTCACAGTCTCTAAACCTCTCAGGTGTGATCCTGCAAAATGTTGAGAAGCTCTTCAAACATCCTGATTTTTTTGCATTGGCTTTCATAAGAAGAGGAACTCAGCACTTTGTAGAGACAGTATTTTCTTTTTCCAGTATTTGTAACCAAATTTAAAGAAACATACATATTGAGTCATTTTAAGATACACACACACAAGTCTCTGAAATAGCTAATTACTAGCACAGTGGATCGCATCATTGCAATTCTACATAAGCTCAATTATTTCTCACATACTGCGTAAATCCAGTGTGTTCCACAGTGGATATAGTAGGTTAAATAGGATACCTCTGAGACCAAGCATAGGGTTTTGCAAGTAAAATGATGTTTTTTCCTCATAATTTGTATTAAATTGTATTTATTTTGAAGTTTGATGTGAACTTTAGGAATTTTGGATTTAGAACAATTCAGTTAATTTTTATTAGGCTACAAAGGGACATGGTTTGCTAACTGTATAGAAGGTGATAATGAGTACTTTAAACTTCAGTCATTAGCTCACCAGTGACCTGCAGAGACTTCCCTTAACAGGCTATCTGATGAGACTAGCTGCAGGAAGCATGGACAGACTGGAGATAGCCATCCACAACCCCTTTTCTCTAATTATGTCCTTATAAGAAAACAGACCGTGTGATCCATAGCTTCTTTTTTCTAGCATGTCCTAATGAAGCATATGCAATTGAAGGTAAAATAAAAAAGGAAAAAAGTAATGGTGCCATCATAAATATGATAAAATATGAAAATTGCTTCTAAAAATTGGCTTTTAAGTTGAATGTAGCAATCACTTCACTCGTGGTTTTTATTATTATGAAGCTGTATGCAATGTTTTAGTAGCGTTTGGTAAGCATTGAAAGTTACACAGAGAAGTGGAAAATCTGTAAGACAGCATTTTAGAAGAATATAATCTGCATTTTTACAACTGTTTTCAGAACTTGGTACTGCTGTACACATGTACAGAGGTCTGGTCAAAAGCCTGCTGAAGGCAACGGGGCATCTCTCAGGCAGCCTTTAGATTGAGGCCCAAATATACTGGGGGTCCTGTGCAAGGACGGCTGGTACTGCTGCCATATCGCTTCTGCACTTACGCTGAGGTGAACCTGCTGACCTCAGTAGCTGGGCTCCTGATTTCCACTGGCGTAAGGAAAACTAGAGCAAGGATCAAAAATCACAGGCGTGTATCTCCTTGGGTCGCTGAATCCACCATTCAGTCCTGCTCAGGCTCCGCTCGCAGGCCTCTCCCTGATGAAGAGGGCTGGCATGACCGTTGTGTCTGAGGCACAGCCGGTGCCAGCAAACTGTGGCTAAGGAGTAGTGTCAATAGCACCAGCCACCCACCTGAGATGCGGTAGCAGGGCTGTTGTGTTTAGCGGTTTAAAGAAACTTTTGTGTTTTTTCTGAATTGCATTGTTTGGAGGGAAACTTCTGGTTTTGACTTGAAGAGTTTGGAAGCAATTCTACCATAGAACTGCAGTTCCTTACTTTGTAGAAATTAAGACAATTATGTGCAACTCAATTACTGGGATTGTCTCACCTCTGTTGTACAGAAGAATAAATAAAATTAAATCTTTACAGTTACTATATCAGTTTCAGTTGGATTTTTATTTTATTAGATAGTTTCATAATTACTTCAACCCTTTATACAGTCATAACCATTAAATAAGAAGGGTTCACTATACATACTTCTAAATTCTTGAATACCAGACCTAGTGCTTTTTTTCCCAGCTCAATCATTTGTAATGTATTTTGTAATCTCATTACTGCAATAAAGCAAAATGACATACGTAAGATTTCAGAGGTGTCAGTGCAAATGTAAAACCTGATCTCCTTTCAGGTGTTTGGATATTAGACACAGTGAGGTGCAATTGATAAACACTACCTTTAACTTTACATTTGCTTTCCAACAGTAAGAGAAAACCCATGTGTAAGTTACACAGGTACAGATGGGATGAACAGAACAGCTTGTCAGTGTATCATACCACCTCCAAGGGCACATTTAGGCCTTGGTCCTGGAGGTTGCCCTACCGCACCGGAACAAGCAGTGGACCTGGATTTAGCTATGCTCTACGCATGTAGAGGTGCTGACCGTATTAAATAACTGACATAGTAATGTAGCATTCAAAAATCCCCGTTATGTTAACTCAAGATTGGCACTTGGTTTCTGTAAGGAAAGAGTATTTGAAAGGGTTTGCCACAGTAGTCTACCAAATTTTGGACTTTTTATCTCATTTATATGAGTTATAGAGCTGAAGTAGGAGCAAAAGGCAAGGAAAAGGTCTTTTGTCTCATAGGCTGAAGTCTAGCACTATCCCAGGCAACTGGGGAATACCGTATGGAATAGAATCGTTGGAAGGGACCTACCGTGATCATCCAGTCCCGCTGCCTGACCACATCAGGGCTGACCAAGTTAAAGCATGTTGTCAAGGGCGTTGTCCAAAGGCCTCAAGCACTGGCAGGCTTGGGGCATCGACCGCCTCTCCAGGAAGCCTGTTCCAGTGTTTGACCACCCTCTCGGTAAAGAAATGCTTCCTAAGTATAATCCCTTCCTCATGGAAGTCTCTTTCCACTCACTTCTCTGGTGATTAGTTATTCTAATTTCAATCATAAGTTTATATTCATTTTATACAACAATTTGTTAGCATAAATAGCTCCTCCCCATCTCTAGGTACCGTTATGCTACAGTCAGTCTTTTAGCTGCTCCTTAACTGAGTTTAATAATACTGTAAAGATGACTGAACTGTTTGTAGCTCGTCCTCTCAACAGGACTGCCTGTTTTCTTGCTGGTACTGATGGCTGAACACTGCCGGCCATTGCTGTCTTGATTAGGAACCCCCTGGTGACACGTCACAGAACTGCAGTTACAGTACCACGTTTTACGCCCCTCACCAGCAGTCAGTTGGTTACAGCTCTCTTCATACAACTCCGATAGTCATTTTTCATCCTTAAGATTCATGGGTTTGTGCTTCATATTAAAATTCATGTCAATACTACAGGCTTGGGAAGTCAACCTATGGCTACAGAGCATAGCCACCGTAGGTCAGGTATCATGGGTGTTACTCTTGCCCTTCAGCCACGCCAGGACCAACTGTATGACCACAGCTCAGGCCTGCGGCGTTCTCCCTTCCTTCCCCAGCCCTTTCCTTTTTCTGCAGCTCTCCTTTAGCCCGTATGCTCGTACCAAATCGTAGCCCTTCCATCTTAATCACCTTGATGGGGCCCTGGAGCAAAGGCTTCAAAGCAGTCCAGAAATGCTGCAGTGCTGTATTTGGTTTTTTAAGTAAAAAAAACCACCCACTATTAAAGCAAGATCCTGTTACTGGGATAATAGTCAATAAACTTGTACATTATCCTTTTGTAAATGTACTTTCATACCTTTCCTTGTTGTTCGGAGACTGTTAAAGCTCTTACATACTCGTGCCACTCTATTTTTGCCGTGAAGACAGACATAGCATTCTTAACATGCTCTACTTAAGAAGATATAAGCAACAAAATTACAATATTGCCAAAAGCAATGTGGAACGGCATCAGACTGAAAATTGCCTGGATAACTGGAGAGGTTAAGAATTTTGCTGTGATATGGAAGCACACAGGATGAGAATGGACCTGTGCGGAACATAAACACGTTCTCTAGACAACGCTGAGGGCGTCGTGACGGGTGTACAAGCAAAACAGAAGTCCTGAAAACCAGGAACATTAAATGAATTTAGGAACCTGCGTTTGACGGGTCTCACAAACAGTAGGGGCACAGGGACTGCCAGTTCCTGGTGTTGATCCTGCAGTGACTAAGCTGTAGCTTGCATTAGAATTTAGTGTTTGCTTTGCTATAAAATCACGGCTTGAAGACTGGATCAGTGATGAATTTTGTCCTTCAGTGTCAGGTCATCCCTATAATTCAAACCATCCAGTTCAGGAACTCTGAAAGAACAAAAGGGACTCCAAGATCTAGAGGCTCTTAAGTGTCCTTTTAGAGTACCAAGAGGAAACATTCTCACTCTGATATACTCAAAATTTTGAGTTTGTAGTTTGTTCTGACCTTCTCCACATCAAGTTTAAAGCAGTTTGGAAACCACGGTGTTGCACCTGGCCAGCACTGAGGTGATGGGTGCTTCAAGGGTTAGGAGAAAAATGGTGTAACTGGGTCTCCTTGACAGGGTTCATAGAGAAAGTCAAGGAGTGTCTGTAAAAATGGGGTGCATTATTGCATATATGACTTAATCTTTTCTAAAGACTTTTATTCTTCCCTTAGCATTGAAGCTATGTTCCACTGGGCAAATCACAACCTTAAGTACTATCCTATACTCCATAAGTACTGAGTATTTCACTTCTCTATCTGCCAAAAGATCAGAGCATCAGTAAGTCAGGCTACACGGAGCCAAAAGAAAGAGGCTTTTTTTTTTGTTGTTCTGACCAAGTCTACACCCTCTAACCCAGGAGCTTAGACACCTTTCGCAAGTTCTCCAGCTTTTCCCTAAAAAAAAATTTCACTAGGCCAGAACTAAATGTGAAGGCCACTGCTAGGACATTGCTTCTCGTACAAACAATATCCTGCTGTGTTCCAGCATATTTTCATATCTCCAAAGAGAAAAAAAATAACTCCTGTTTCTTTTTTTAAAATATCACAGCAGGATCTGCTGCCTCGAGTTCTGCCCTCCCCTGCACAGGACTCTTGGGCTTGGAGGGTCCCCTGCCAGCAGCGATGGTGCTGGGCTGGACCATCAGTAACCATTGTGGCCACACACCCAGTTAAAAACAGAAACAGAGGGCTGGTGAGTTAGTATTGTCTCAGGAAGTTTACTCCCTGCACTAGTAACCTCTGGAGCAACAGTGACAACAGTTGCATGGTAAGTAGTTCAACAGAACCGAGAATACCTTTTTGTGCCCAGAATA